TAGTCTAACTTGCACTATAAACTACCAAACTCTATATACACCTTCCTTCTCTTATGTACACACACTTTTGAGCATTTTGAGAATAAAATTCATATTTTTTCTCTCAAAAAGTTAGTCCTTTCTCTTGGAGAAATTTTTCCTTATGAATTTTTATCAAAGAATTCCTCTTTGTAGCAAGTTCTTCACATTTTTGTTTATCTTCACTTAAAGTGACACATACCTCCTCTTTCTCCCTCCATCATTTGAAGTTTTCTTTTGAGTTTTATGATCTATGGATGAAAATTGTTGAAGTTTTCTTTTGAGTTTCATGATCTATGGATAAAAATTGGGCACACATTGAAGCTAGTTGAAGGGAAACATCAACCATATCCAAGCTAGTTTCATTGGTATTTTGACTACAAAAGTGAAATTAAAAGAACTCTTCTTCTTGAACAATCTGTATACCTTCTCTTGTGCAAATGGGAACTTGCTTGCGTTGCCACTTCACTTGAAAATGAGATTCTACCAAAGTGGGTCAAGGAACTTTTTAAAAGAATTTGATGATGTATTTTCTAAAAAGGGTCCTAAGGGATTACCTCCTTTTAGGGGAATAGAACATCAGATTAATCTTGTGCTTGGAGCTAGCCTTCCTAATTGACCTGCTTATAGGACAAATCCCTATGAAACTAAAGAAATAGAACCTCAAGTTCAAGAGTTGTTAGATAAGAATTAGGTTCAAAAGAGCCTTAGTCCTTGTGTAGTTCCTATGCTTTTAATAGCCAATAAAGATGAGAAATGAAGGATGTATTGTGACTATAGAGTCATCAATAATATCAATATTAAATATAGGCACCCAATCTCTAGACTTGATGACTGTTGGATGAATTACATGGTTCCACCATATTGTCCAAGATTGATCTTAAGAACGAAAAAACATGGCCAAAACACTTCTTTGTGAAAATGATTTACCTAAACACTTTTAGGTCGAGGCACAGTGAACACAACAAATTATATTTAAAATAGAGTATTGATTAAACCATTATTAAATAAGACTCCTTATATACTTTGGAGAGGAAGGAGACCCACCATCTCATATTTTCATACATTTGGATGTGAATGCTATATCCTAAATACCAAAGACCAACTTGGCAAGTTTAATTCCAAGGTAGACAAGGGTATTTTCCTTGCATATTCAAAAACCTCAAAGGCATAGAGAATTTACAATTGTAGAACCTTTATGGTGGAAGAATCTATAAACGTGCAATTTAAGGATGCCTTACTGACTGATAGGAGACTATCAGATCTAGAAGACAATTTTACAGATTTGCAGATAAAAGAATAGACGAAAGAACCAGAGGTTAGAGATTAGACGATAGGTTAGACAAATCAATGAAATGAAGAATTAGACCTCAGAAAGACTGGAAGTTCATCAATCATCATCCACAAGGTCTCATCCTAGGAGATAAAGCTAAAGGAGTAAAGACGAAATCTACCCTCAAGAACAATACATCATATGCTTTTGTTTCACAAATTGAACCTAAAAACATAAGCGAAACATTAAATGATGATGACTAGATCATTTCCATGGAAGAATAGCTTCATCAGTTTGAGAGAAACGATATCTAGACCGTTGTTCACAAATCCACACATCAAAGTTTCATTGGAACTAGGTGGGTCTTCAGAAACAAACTTGTTGAGTAAGGAAAAGTGGTAAGAAATAAAGCTAGATTGTAGCTCAAGGCTATAATCTGCAAGAAGGTATTGACTTCATTGAAACCTTTGCTCTAGTTGCCAGACTTAAAGTTAATAGAATTATGTTAGTTTTTACTGCTCATAAAAATATAACACTTTATCAAATAAATGTAAAGAGTGCCTTTTTAAATGGAATTATTGGAGTAGAGGTATATGTCAAACAACCTTCAGGTTTTAAAAATCTTGAGTTCAAAGAACATGTTTTAAACCTCCAGGTTTTGCAAAAGACTGCTCTGCTTTGACTTCAATTGCTCTATGTTGACATTACTTCTGCCATGCTCAATTTAGAAGGAGATGATGATAAATAGTCTGCAAGATTAGATAAGAGATACACGCCTTACTAAAAAGTAGGGGTGGGTAGATGGACCCGACGTAGACCGATCCGTAAGCCCCCAGACTTCATAGATAACGGACCCATTTTTTTAAAAATTTGTATGATTATGTTTAATTTTTGAGCTCGGTCCGTGAAGTTAGCAGACTTGGCGAATTTAATGTGCGAGCTTTACTAATTAATATTTTTAGATATTAAGACTTTAATATTAAGTTGTGTATTTAATCTTTTAAATTATTATGACATTAAAACTATGTTTAATTGATATGTATTTGTCATTTAAATTATTTTTATGACATTTTGATACTTTTATTATTGAAAGTTTGGTATTATTATATAAGTTTTTGTAATTATTTTTACTTTAACATTTTAATATTTAGTATTTTAAACCATTTTAACTACTGATAAAATTTAGTGTGATGAAAATTTACCTTATAAATAAAAAGATTTTTTTTCTTCTAATTTTATGTAATTTTATTTTTAAAAATTCATTTTTTGGAACCATTATTTAGACCCGTGGATCGGTCCGTTATCCACGAATTTTGACGGGCCGGATACAGACTTGAAAAATAAGTCCATTTATTTTACGGATCAGACTTATCCGATCCATATAAAACGCGAATTTTATGGGATTGACCTTAAACAGGCCGGACCGGTCTGTATACCCACCCCTATTGGAAAGGAATTTCATGCCTGCATAAAATGCATCAACGGTAACCTCTAGGTTAGCAAAAAAGACAGACGAAACAACTTGTGAAAAAAATTGAAAAGTCCAACTCTAAGTTATTGTAAGCGTCATCTTCTTTGAAGCTACTATAAAAGGATCAAGCCTTCAAACACCGAATAAAGAAAAAAACATTGCAAATAAAAAGATCAATACTTACTAAAAAATTCACATTAAGAAAGATACTGAGACATACAAAGCTGAAGTACTAAAAGGAAACCTTTCATTGTAAATCTTGTACATAGTCCTTTGTAGATTATTTATGCGTAAGTTTCATAGCAGCCTTTCTTGCTTATCTCTTCTCTTGAAGAGTGTCACGCCAGCCTCATCTCTTCCTTCACCATTTGTGCATTTTTTTTATGATTAGTCTATGGAAGGAGCTTGAAGAGCTTGGAAGGTTCTTGAGAAAATTCGGCTACCATTCCTCCAAGGAGTTTCCATCAAGGAAGATAAAATTTAGATTGTATTTTTTACATCATCCTACCTAAGGACAAATATTGACTTGAGCATTGAAGTAACCTTTTACAAATACACTTATTCTTTGATTTAGGCAAGTAAAACTGAGGATTGTCAAGTTGAAGATTAAGACTGTGAAGAAAAAGAAGAAAATTAACATTGTACCCTTATGTAACTATAATTATGAGTTATTGGTAATTGGTTTGTCTTTAATTCATATAATTTTTTGGCCATTTAACTTCTACATCATTAAAAACATGAGTGCTATTAATGTATTCTAACATGCCTTTTTTAAAACAGCTTATTATTAATTAAGATTTAAAGAAATTTATAAAATAATCACAAGACGTGAGAATATTTTGTAACTTTTAATGGATTTCAATTAATAAAAGATAATATGTTTAAAAGAATATGCTAAAAGTGTATTGTATATTTATCTTTAAAAAATATTGTATGTTTTAGACTAACTGTATTTTATTTTGTTGTAACTTTATAAATTTTATCCTAATTTCATAATGTTGATTTTTAAACTTATTTATATCCATGTAATAAAATAATAAATTATTTATATTCGATATCACTTTGTATTATATTCAAATAAAATTAACAAATTTGAATAGATAAACTTTTAAAAATGGTTCAAAATTTATATTTAAACAAACATAAATAAGTTCTAACATACACTACTTATGTCAAGTTTGTAGCATATTTAAAGTATTTGTATTAAATTATCCTATTTATTTTGTTTCTTGAAGGTTTTTGATAAATTTAATTCTCCGAATTAAAATTCTAATAAAAGTTCTTTAAATTTCTTATGGAATCGAATAATTTTAAATCCTTAAGGTCAAAATAAAGTTAATATCTATTTTTGTCCTTAAAAAGGGAAAAACGCTATACTAAGAAACTATTTAATTAGTCCATAAAACATAAACTAAGATTTTAAATTTAATTATTTCTTATTATTTTAATCCCTATATATATATATATATATATATTACCGTTTTACTTATATATTTTTTACTGTTAGAATAATGCGATTGTCAATTCGTTAGTTTAGACTCATTTTATAACTTTATTTTAGTTTCAGAAACTATACTTTATAAATTCAAAGATCAAAACAAAATGCTTACTTGTAAATTGTAATATTATTATCCTTGTATTTTGACTTTTAATTTAAATTTATTATATATAATTTTCAAAATAATACATCATTAAATTATATCACATAAAACACGTTATATAAAACTAGCAGGAAAAAGACATTTTGTGCCTGCATTGTATTAAAGAAAAAAATAAATAAATAAAAAAAAATGAAAAGTCACTCTTAAAAAAGACAGTTATTAAAAAATAAACAAAAAATAAAATAGTCCATGTAAAAATAAAAATTAAAAGTAGATATTAAAAATAGTATCTCTTTTATATATTAGTATAGATTCATTAGTTTTAAATTTTTAAATTTAGTTAAAAAATAATTTTTTTAATTTTTTAAAATAAAAGAATATAATGGTCTAAAAAAAAGTAAAATCCAAAGTAATTACTGAAAAAGATATCCCTTTATATATTAATATAGATACACTTTCATTTCTTCTTTTATTACAAGAAAAACTTTGACCAAAAAGTAAAGAAAAAAAAATTGACTTGTACAACAAAATATCAACTAATCTGTGTACATAAAAGCGATTGATATTTTATGGCGCAACGAAAGGAGACAAAAAAATGATTGCATATGTGGACCACACGCACATTACTATAGTCCAATCCTTCAGTGCTCATATTCATATTCACATTCATTCAAATCGATGGCTCTCTACTCAAACTCTTTCTTCGCTCCTTCGCTTTTCCACCGTCCCAGCGCCTCACACGTTTCGCGTCGAAGTTTTTGTCCCAATGCTTCGTTAAGCGCTTCTTCTCCTGAACCGCAAAGTGTTTCTTCTGCAACTTCCACAGCCACTGCGCCTTCTTCATCCCCTGACCCTGCCTTCAACTATGCGCTCGCCAACCCCAACGGTAACCCGCTCGTTAGGGTTTTTCGAGCCACCGAGTCTTCCATTGAAAGGGTATTTCTCTCTTTCTCTATTCAGGTTCTTATTTATTTATTTATTAATTATCAGTCTTTTGATAAGAAATTTAATTGTGATTAGTGAATATTAATTTATAGAGATATTTAATTCAATTAGAAATTATTATAGTCACAACGATAAATTTGATTACTAGAAATAATGCATGACTATTAATATTAAGCTTTAATTGTGTATTTCCTGTGCTCTCTAATATAAGAAAAGGAACATGTTTATTGTTCCTAAATATCAGCAAATCTCTACTAATTTAATTTAATTTATCTACTATTATCAAAAAAAAATTATTTAATTGAAATTGTGTTTTTAATACTTTTTAATTACGTGATACCATTATCAAAATATTCTTTCATTTAATTGAAATTGTTTTCAGTACTTTTCATTCTTGATATCTGTTCTTTTTACACCATTCTTGATATATGGTGTGCACCGGGGTTTACATACATTTATCTCTATGTTGTTATGATATTTTCTATTTTGGGCTTAAATCCTTATTGGTATGCTTTTGCTCTTCACCCAAAAGATCTACTTTTTTTTATCTCAACAATCCTCTTCTCAAATAAAAGACCATGGTTTAACTTCCTCTTCAATGAAACTATCAGCTCATGGATTTACTTTTGGTCATTTATCCCAAAAGCATCATACCAATGAAGATATTGTTTGTGAGCTTATAAATCCATGTTTATCTTCTTGTTCTAATGTTATAAACTTTGTTTTTTTTTTGTTTTGATTGTAAGTCCATTGGCATCGTTAAGATTATCATGTTTTTTATAAATTACCCTTAGTCTCAATTCTTAATGTGAGACTTTTTAGGCATATTGAAACAAGTTCCCCAAGCTATAGGGTAAGACTGGCATCATTAGAATCACCATATCCGAGGTATTTAGAGCTCGTTGGGTCGTCATGATTGTCTTTGAAAATACACTTCGTGAGTTTAGGAGGGAAAGTGTTTATAAATTACACTTAGCCTTGATTTCCAAGCGATGTGGAACTTTTTGAGCGTACCGAAACAGTATTCTATTGGAGTATAACTTTACTCCTTACCTATAGTCTCTAAGATGCGGTTTAATTTTTGAATTCTCTGTTTACGTATCCTGTAATTTGTCTTCACTTTTATTTTCGTTTGTAAAGCAGTAGAGGAGTATTCATTCTGTTAGTTTCTTGTAACTACGTGCTCTAGTTAGTTAGACCTATAACTTCTCTTACTTTTGTTAGTTAGACCTATAGCTTCTCTTACTTTTGTTAGTTAGACCTATAGCTTCAGTTAGAAGCTGTTAGCTCTATATATATTGGATTACATTCTGTATTCAGGGTACAGATACAATAAAAACAATATTCATTTTTTTATATCAAATTTCAATGATAAACAAACTTAAAAAATGTGTTATTTTTTTAAATGTCATTAGTGAAATTAAATAATGTTAATTAACTTTATTAGTTAAAGTAAATATAGGTTTTTTTTTCTCCTTATACTTGGGACAGGAGTAGTATGTTATACTCAATTCCTATATCCCTGAATGTTGAGATCGTATATAATACACACACAAACTGGCATTGATACAAGATTACAAGTATTTTGAAGCATGAGAAACTCCCATGCTTTTATGATAATAGCTGATCTTTTCCCTTTCATTATTCTCAGGAAAGTTATAAACTGGTATGTCTTTGCTTTTCTAACCAAAAGCTTTTTCATTCTGTTGAGCAGGTCATTTTCGACTTCCGCTTCTTGGCATTACTTGCTGTTGGAGGTTCCTTGGCAGGGTCACTATTGTGCTTTCTAAATGTATAGTCTCTCAATAACTTACATCTTTCTAAATGTTGAACGCACTGTGTGTTTATAGTGTGCAGCCATACCTTGCATATGTAAGTGGCTGATTCCTCAACTTGAACCAACCTGACCTTTGGGTCACATGGTGACAATTGTCCAGCTGTTACTACAAGACTCCCTTCTCCCAACAACTTTGATGCAGTTATTTTGTAGTTGTACTTAGAGGTTATCACTATTGGTATGAAATATAAAAGTATTTATCTTTTTCTGTTATTGATATCCCCTCAAGGATAATCTTACTTTCCTTTAGATAGTTTTAATGTTAATATACTTAATCATGTCATAAATGTAAGCCTATATATATCTGACTATGTTGGATCATTTTAGGGTTGTATTTATATTGTTGACGCATATAAAGTCTATTGGACAAGCTGTGTCAAAGGAGTTCACACCGGACAGATGGTTCTGCGTCTTGTTGAAGCAATTGGTAATTTATTACTTACTAGTCATAATTTGGATACAAATTTAGAAACACTTTATACAACTTTTCTACTGGAGAAAGCTCTTTATTTTCAGTAGAGAAGCTTTCAAGAGCATTTCTAGTTTATATTCAAACAGACTCAAACTCTAACTAGTTTTCTATATTATTTTGTATTTACTCTACTTGGGACCTGATTGGGTTGGTTCAATTTGAATTGATGAAAAAAGTGAAAAAAAAACGAATTGATAACTGACCATAGTTTATTGGTTTGGACCTTAATATCTTTGATCCGAACCAACTTGTGCCCACTTCTATCCACAGTTAAGGCAACTCTAAACTCAAAATCCTAAACCTTAAGTCTGGACCATAGTTGTCAATCGCGGCCGGAGCGGAGCGACGCGACAACCCAACACCGCAATGGTGATGTTGTCGTGTCTCGGATTTCCGTCACAGCTGGAGCGGCCGCGTCGGTCGTGGAGCGAAGCGGCCAAAAATGGCGGAATCGCGTCGCGTCTTGGACAGACCCTTCATTAAGGGTAAGTCCGTCATTTCAGTTGGGTTTTTCTTGCCCTAAATCTTCCTCTCCCTCTCGTGGAACCATTGTTGTTGGTTTCTGAACGTCTCACGCTCCCCCTCCTCTCTCTCTCTCGGACTCGATTCTTTCTCTCTTGAGGATGACCGTTGGCGCACTCCGGTCATCTTCTTCAGGCTTCTCTGTCAGACGCTCCTCCAGTTCTGATGCTTCCAGTTCTGATGCACTTCGTCAGTTCCGACCGACGCTCCTTTAGTTCTGACGCTGCTCCTCCAGTTCCGACGTCGTCTGTCTTCTTTGTTTGTCTTCTCATCTTCTATTTTATAATTCAGCAGATTTTTTTTTAATTTTTGATTAAATTTAATTCAGCAGTTTTTTTTTTAATTTCTGATTAAATTTAATTCAGTAGATTTTTTTTTAATTTCTGATTAAATTTAATTCAGCAGATTTTTTTTAAATTTCTGATTAGAGTAATTTTTTAATTTAATTAAGCAGATTAGAGTTATTTTTTTTTGCTTTTATATATATATTATTAATTATTTAATATATATAAATTAATATTAAAATAGCGGTTATCCCGCTCCACGTCATCCCGCTATCCCGTTTTTAGGGTCGACCGCTCCGCTCCGCTATCCGGGATTGACTACTATGGTCTGGACATGTTTGGGTTGGTTCGGGTTGTATCATCGGTATAGAAATTCAAAGTAGAGGGAGGGACTCTTCTGAAGTGTCAATTGAAGAATGATTCCAATTGTTGGATTGACAATTTTTAAATACAAACGGATGATCTGAACCAACTTAGATTTTTTCCTTTGGGTGGTTTGAATTGATATGGTCACTTGATCGACTTGGATTTGTGTCCGCCCCTAACTGATACGATTTTTATAACATAGGAATTTCTTGAAAACAGGTACAGAAAATAAAGGAACTTGATTGACCCTAACCGTGATCCGTCGGTAGCCCCAAAGTTATCAAAATAAAAAAGTGTGACCCTAATCGCGACCTGTCGGTAAAACCAACACTATCAAGTTCTTATCCAAGAATAAAGGAAAAAACTTTCACAGTGAGAAACTCAAAATATCATTAATATTCAATTTGATTTGGATGCTTACAAGATGTTCCTGTTTATAGGCTAAGATAAGCACTCTATCACTTACATGTAGTAACTTTCCACTAAGCTCCACTAGGCATTAAAATCCCACTAATTCCTACTAACATTTATTTTCCACTAGGAAGCCTAATGACACCCAAAACTGCCCTAGGCAATATGAAACACCATCTGAACTTATTTAATTAAAATAAAATACGAAAATTACAATAAAAATAAGAAAATGGACTTAAGTAATTATTCAGCCCAAAACTATTTAAACTTCAGCCCATTAATGCTTCTTCTAGATATATGAGTTTGGGCTTGTCATGTTTGTCTTCAATTTGGACCTAAGTCTTCATCAACTTGTAGGAAGTGATCCATTTTGGTACAACCTCTGAATTTGAACTTGTCTTGATCTTCATAATTAGTCCTTGTAAAACTTGCTTCATCATCTTCATTTTGGACTTTATCATGGCACCTCCAATATCACGCAAAAGATATTTCCCTTGGCTGGTTGGATCTTTATCACTAACTGTTGACACCTTTGAACAGATTTAATTTGCAGCCTCATGCACTTTTATTGTCATAAGTGTGAGAAGGTGCATCCATTGTTTTTTGGCCACCTGCATTGGCACTCTCCTGGTTAGTAGACTGAGTATGAGGGGTGTATTAAGTCGCCTTAATTGCTGACACCCTTGATCTGTCTTATTTTATAGTCCCGTGCACCTTCATTGTAATAGGTGTGAAGAGGTAGATGTAGTCCTACATCAACTAGAGTTAAGGCTTAAGTAGTTATTATAAACCTTGAGTCATCCTCACCTTACAAGCTAGATTTGTGGGATAGAGTTAGATCCTAAGCTCAAATTTAGTAAACTTTTGTTATTTTACTTTTAAATTATCCAACTTATGTTAGCCCCTCTATTTTTTTCATAGAAAGATTGTCTCTTTCATTATGAGAAAGAACATTTAAATCATCTTAAACCTACATATTTTGTAATATATAAAGGTGGTATACCACAAATTGTATATTGATATTATGTTTTTATTGGGAAGCTCTTTTTTAATTCGTTTTTGGTCTCAATTTCATGTAAGGTTATGTTTACTACTTGCATTTAGGCATTCTTTCGGCCAATAAAATGCATGAATCACTTGCTGCTGCAGATGTTTATCTTGCTGGTACAGTTATGCTGATTTTTGGTATGGGCTTATATGGATTGTTCATAAGCAATGTACCTCCTGATGTTCCACCTTCTGTTGACCGTGCTCTTAAAGGATCCTCTTTGTTTGGAATGTTTGCTATGAAGGTAATTATACAACCATACTTATTGAATATTTATCATGAACATTATAATGACATCTATTGAAGAAATTTTAGCAATTCAATCTTTTAATATTTTAAATGTGATAAAATAGCGTGGATATTCAAGTTTGGTAATTGTTCTATACAAGTGTTTATTCCTTTTTTTTTTTTTTTTTCTGTTTTTTAATGAGATACAGTTATCTTACTGCATTAATTCATTATTTTTATGCTATGAAATGTGCTTCTGAACTAAATGAGAATTGTCTTTCTTGATTGCGCCTGATTGCAATTGTCTGGAGTTTTTTTACAACTATGGAAAATTTAAAACCATGTAATTTCAGTGTCTTTTGTACCTAATGTAAGAAGAAAGCCCTTTGAACTCTAAGTTCTCAAGGTTGAATAGGAACTAGGAAGAGGAAAAAGGACTTTATTAGGCTACCCAATGTGTCACCGGATAATTTTAATGAGTTATACTACAATGTGGTTATAAGAGAACAAGGTCTAGGTCATAGTGTGTCAAAGAACCATTATGAATGAATTTCCTCCTTGCAAAACCATGGTCACCAATAACAACAAAGAGTGCTACAATAGTACTAATGAATTTCTCTGCATTGTGCAATTCATTCTCTTCCATACAGTCTAATAATAATAATAATCTCGCCGTTACTTCCTTCTTTTCATTCATAATGGTTCTTTTCGCATACCTATAGTTCCATGTTATAATGCAAAAGATTCTTGTTTGTGAGTGACTCAAGTAGCCATAACCCTCTAGAGATATTAAAGCCTAGGGGTGAATAATGTCCAATCCAATCCGGTAGCTTGACCCGTCCTAATTTAACTGGTAGATTATCGGATGCATTTGGATCTAAGTATGAATTAGGCTCTAAAAAATTGGTTCGATAAAAATTTAGGGACGGGTGAAGTTAATCTGACCTAACCTCTCCTTTTTCCACACCTATTAAAGGTAGTTGCGCTGTCCCACCCTGCCACCAATCCTTGTTCACACCTAACAGACACGTTTACTTATAATAGGCTAAAAGTGTAGTAAATATTGACCTTTTAGAAGGGAGTGTAATTTTTAAAATGAGAGGAGAGGACACTATAATTGATTCATCTATCAAGCCAAGGGGGCGTATTTTACTGTTTGTTCTGTGAGCACCTTTTTCAATATCTTCACGATTGTAAAATTAATCCACATCATTTTCTATTCATATTGCTTGTAAACGACAATCAATTTGTAATATATATAATCTATAAATCTCAGTCCGAGCTTTGCAGCTTTTTTTTCAACAAAGTTGCACCAAGATCCGAACTTAAGACTTCAACCCCTGTCTGCTTTGCAACTTCTTTATAGACATATTGGAGTTCCACTGATTTTTGTTTACCTTCTAATTGCTACATTACATGTAAATGTTTTTATATTTGGAACTGAATCTGAGGCTCCATATAAAACATGTCTTTGTCTTTCTCAACATTCTTGCAATTTGCAATGCAAACATACAGCAGTAAATTTTTTTCAAATATAAAGTTATGACATAATAATGAAATAATAATTTCAGCTATTGCTTGCACGTTTTAACATTAGTTAATATAAATCGCCGAGCTGTGTTTATTGCCAAGCTTCCATTTAATTAACTAACACGATTCTAGCATATTGGAAAATAAAGTGAATATATTCTTTATCCTTTTCAGGAGAGGCCCAAATGGATGAAAATATGCTCACTTGATGAATTGAAGACAAAGGTGGGACATGTTATTGTGATGATTCTTCTGGTAAAGATGTTTGAGAGGAGCAAAATGGTTACCATTGCCACAGGATTGGATTTACTAAGTTATTCAGTTTGTATTTTCTTATCATCTGCATCTTTGTATATCCTCCATAACCTACATAAGTCAGACTAGAATGTAATTGACCTTGTAATATACTCACTTAAGGGATAGCAGGGAATCAAATTCTAATTGATTTGGTGCCTGATTTTAGTTATATAGAAAATAGAAATTATAGCATGTTAATTATAATATTCAATAGTTGTTATATTTTGGAAGTCAGTTTTACAATTATCGGTATGTACCATTGGATTGAAAATGTGATCAAATTTCATTTTCTCCAATTTGTTTCCGGTCTGTTATTCGGTATCTATTATATTTATTATCTATTATCTATTATTATATATTGTAAAATAATATTTTAGCACGTTGGTTGAGTTGAAAATAAGTTGAGTTGAGTCAAACTTAGTTTAACTCAGTTTAATTCAATAATATTTAGCTCAATTGAAAATTTGACTCAAATTCTGTATGAATCATTTTTTTTTAACTCAAATTCAACTTTGTTTAAGTTCGTTAACAATTTAGTTAACAAGTTAGTTTAGCTTGTAGCTTGAATCAAATGAGCTAAGAGTCAATTTTTTGAATCTTATATATTTTAAAATTTTAATTTATTATTAGATTTTAGGTAAAATGATCATTTTTTTTATAAAATAAAACATAACTTATTTTATTACCTTTGTAATGTTACAAGATATGATTCCAAAAAAATATGATTAAATACTCTTTCATCTTACATAAAATAATAAAAAAATATAATCCATAACATTAAGATTCTAAGGAGTTCACTTTTTTTTTTAAACTAATTATAACTAACTTTTAAAACTTATTTCAAAGGTGAAATGAAATAAAAAGTGAATTATATAAATGTAGAGAAAAGAAAGATATTAGAATGAGGTTGAATAATATAATTTTTTTTTTCACTTTTTGAAACAGTAAAGTGGGAATTATAAAGAATATATGATATTTTTATATTGGTTTGTTTCAATCATTGATACTATGCTTAATTATTGATTAACCTTCAAGTTTTACCATCTCTCACAAAAAATAAATATTCTTTAATAAGTCACTTCTAATTCAACTTAAGTATTTTTTGACATGTCTCTCCAAGCAACTATTCAAGTATTCTTTAAATAATGAAATCTTTTCGAACTTCAACAACTAAGTATTCTTTATAACAAAACATTTAAGGTTTTAAGTAATAACATGAAGTTAAAGTTGAAAAATCAATTGTTTCGTCTCACTTTCAAGACATACAACCAAATTAAGTACAAAGTTTTAACAAAAAGAATGTATTAGATTTTTTTTTACAATTGTTCTCTTCTGCTTTCTTCACAAGTCTTCAATTTTCTTTATATAAGTGCTTCGTAAAGACGATCATTATAAATCCTTTAGCTTCTCTCCTAGACTACTTTGTCTATGTTTGTCTTCCTTCCTTGTAAAGAGAAGTGACTATTGGTGCATTAATTAAATGTATTTTACCAAATTGTCACTTATTATCTGATCAAGAAGATTATTTATCACTTTTAAGATACAAAACAGGAGAAACTATTATGTATATTAGTTGGAAATGACTTTATTTGAGACTTTGTATTTTTTTTGGGAGATTTGCTTGTCCTTTCTCTAATAAAAAACATACCTATATTCCTTTTTAAAGTTCAAGTAGCAAAGAAACATTTATTCCTTTAACCTGATAAGGAATAAAAAAATAAATAAATTTGGCTATAAAATATCATAAACGATACATATTTAATGCATTCATCATAACCAATTGTCTATTGAATTCATTTTATTATGTGATTTGAAAAACATTTCTTTAACAAAAATGTCTGAGTTTGTTAATATTAAAATTTATATTCTAAAGGATCCAAGATTATCTTTTAATCTAATAATCTCTCATTTTTTGATGGTGATAAACATGATTTAAAAAAAATGAGTTTTTAAACATAATGACTCTATTCTATTTTGAATCTAAGACAAATAAGCAATATTCCAACATATTTTAATCAAAACATATGCCAGTAATTTCTGATGAAGTACATGTCAAGCATTACTATTTTCTTTTATCATAGAATATACGAACTTTCAGAGGGAAAAAAGTACATGACATGTTAAACAAACTATATATTATTTCAGTATAGGTAATCAGAGCGAAATGAAGCATATATAAATCATAGCATAAATTTTACTCGGACCATAAGCATAAATTTGCATAGCATGAGTAAAGCAAAACTATCAAAACATAAATATAGTAAGATTATCAAAGCATATTGTAAAATTTTTTAGAGCAAATAAATTCAGATATTTTGTATACTCTCTCTAAGATAGAGCGAGAAAAAGTAAAATTAATTAAAAAACTTAATATTATTACTTCCTTTTTACACCTACAAAAGTATGGACCAAGGAACACACACTGGTTAAAAGATGATTCGTAGTCAAAACTAACTTTTACATGGTGTTTATTGAGTGATGTTGACAAATAGATTGTTGAAGTGCGATGTTTATTCAGGTCATTCATTCTTTAGATTATTACCAGTGTTTCAAATTGTGGTCTACATTATGTATTGTGGTCGTAATATTACGATTGCGGACCTCCTCGCAACATCAACAGGCCGCAATTGCAGTGCGAATGAAAATCACGGATTTTTCCGCATTGCCACAGTAATGTAGCCGCATCACGACCGAAATGTCTCTGCAACGTGACAAAATTAATAGATTATTTCACTTTTCATAAAGAAGAAGAAGAGAGAATCGATTTAGAGACCTCTGAACAACCATTGCTTAGTCGTAAGCCTTCTTTCCACTATGACTTGTTGCCCTACTCTCCAACTTGTTCCCTTTTTGTTCTAAACTGTATTTTGGACTCTGGAGTTTTGGGTTCGTGGGGAGTTGGGATTATCAGCAAGAGAAAAAGGAACGGCTTCGTGTTTGTGGGTTCGGTTTTATAATCTATTTTCCTATTCTTTTGATATAGGCATTCTCATGTAGATATTGTTCCTGTATGAACACTCTTGTCAAGACAAGAAGATCAGATATGGGCCAAGCAAAGACTTACCACCAGCAGTGGAATAGCAGCAGCTTCTTCAACAACCAACAGCTCAACTTGTGAAAGCTTTTCATGCTCGTGTGGCCATATATACTGAATGAAATTGAGAAGGAAAAAAGAGGTCCTGAATTTCATTTACTTGTAATCTCACAGCAATGGTAAGTTTCCTAAACATCAATACATTTTTAAAGTTAAATATATCAATGCACACATACACAAAGACAGATAAATAGCACATACAAACATAAATAAACAAATATAGACATAACACAGACTAACAAAGTCACAAACACACCCACACAGAGGGAGTGAGAGAGATACATACACTTACAGATAAAAACATAACCTAGACACAAACAAAGAGACATACAAACACATAAATGACACATAAACAAGTAAAGACAAACACAGATACAAAGATAAAGGCAGGGCATACACATGGAGAGACACCGGCAGAAACACATCACTTGCAAAGTAACACAGACAAACATAAAAACTGAGCAAATTGCATAAACATAGAGACGAAGACAGCGCACATACACAAAACATACATACAAGGCATTGATATGCACACACGTAGAGATACGCAGAGACATATAAGCACACACAACATACAAAAACAAAGGCACAAACACACACAAGTCACAAACAACATACAAATAAATAAAACATAAAATACACATCATCACAATCATAATCACAATAACAATAACAACAACTAGAATTACTAATCCATCGAATTGAAATTATTCCAATTCATTCAAGCATTTCACGTCATTTCACATCGAACCGTTTGATTTCAAAGCTAGATTTCAATCAAGAATGGGTTCATTTTCCATTTGCACAAAATCAAGATGTCTTCTTTTCTTGTACTTCATCCATCAAAATTAGTACACCTATTTTTTTCAAAATAAAAGTTTAGGTGAACAAAACTAACTTAAATATCAAGTTATGATTTAAGTTATCAAATCTTGTTGTATGTGTAAAATGAATTTATTAAGAGGAAAGAAACAAATATAGAGGATAAGAAATCCTCCTTAGTATGATGGCTACAAAAGGTAAACAAAGGAAATGACTCGAACGAGAATAAAGAATACTGATTCAAGAGTCAAGAGTCCCATGAAGGAATCGACAAGGAGAACGAGAGAGAGAGGGGAAAGTACATGAGGGCGAGACCGGAGGACCGAGTGTTGTTAAAATCGCGAATCAACTCGTAAAATCGTTCAATTTTACGGTTTGCAAAAATATTCCGTGCTGAATCAGATGCAAAATCGGGGCAGAATAAGATCGGAGTAAAATCGCGATCTTTCGCGTTATTTGTGGGATCTTCGATCTTTCACGATTCGAAAAAATAAAAAACGAAATATTGGACAAATCACACCTGCAGATCTTCGACAGCAATAACCCTGATTTCTTCTTCCTATTAATATTACTGCATCGCAACAGAAGAAAAAGAAAACTCCGCAGCACCAAAAGAAGAATAACACATTTCCGCAGTAAAAGAAGAAGAAGAACGCAGTACGTACTGTAGTCGGCAATAGCAAAAGAAGAAGAAGAACAGTACGACAACACTAAAAGAAGAACGCACGGCGACAGTCGAAGAACCGTACAGTAACGGAGGTAAAAGAAGAAACATGGGACGGGACGAAACCGCAATAGAAGAAGAAGTGAAGAAGAAAGCTTTGCGGGCGTTTCTCTAATCTGACCCTTCTTTTCTTTCTTATATTATTTTCTTTTTCTTTTAAGATTTTAAGATTTTCTTTCTTATATTATTTTCTTTTGTTTTTTTTTACATTTACAGTTTTACGTATACACATTACCTATTGTAATTTTTTTTTTAACTTTTAAGTTTTAAATATAAATAGATACACACACAAAGACACAAACAAGCAAATTTACTTTCTCCATAGTTTTAGTGATTGAAGTTCCTTCGTAACATGTGAAATACTTCTGGGAGGACTTGAATCACTACCATTATGTGAATGAGAATGACGACTCATGGTCAAATAAGAAAATTTAAACTCAACTTGTAAAAGAAACTAAGCTAAATAAAAATTAACCTAAATGCACGTATTACTAAACAACGGGCTTTGGAACTCTTGTTTACTAACTAATCAAGATCGAAAGCTATGGTAACATAAATTGACGTGAAAACCTTAAAGAAACAAGTAAAGAAGCAATGTAAAGAATACAAACAAAGTGGAAGTCTTAAGGAGACACCTAGAGCCTCAATAAGACCACTTCCACAAGAATAAAAGGCCAAGTTTACACAAAAAATTCAACAATAAAAAAGGATACTATTCTTGAACTTTTCTCTCAAGTGTTTGCTCCCAAAGTATTTGGTGTAGCTCTTCAAGTCTCCAATTGTCAATTAATGAGTTATTCCTCCTAGAACTAAAGCACTTTAAGAAAGGGCTAGCACACAAAAAGATAAAATTAGAATAGATCTAGAATGGATTAAGAAAACTAAAACAAAGGATTAAGTAAACAAAAACTATGATTACAAGTTGTTAGATCCAAGTGTTTAGTGATTTATCAAACAAGTTTTGAATTTTCTTCTTCTCTGAACTGGCTTACTCTTCATGCATCCTCCTAACCATAACTCTAGTCATGGGTTCCTTAGCTAGGCTTTTGCCATCACACATACACATACATAAACAGACTCTCAAACACCTACAAATAAACATACATAGAGAAATACACACAGACACAAATAAACACATACATTAAAACACAGACACGTATACAAATAGACACTCAACACACTCAAACACACACATAGAGACACAAAGACACACATAATCTCTTAGACACATACAAACACACAGACACACATTGACACACACAGACACAAACATATACACATAGACAAATACAAAGATACAAACCCAAACATGATCCATCACACACATACATAGACACACATACACACAAACACACACAGACACATGCATAAATATAGACAAAGACACAAACAGCGCAAGCACACAGGTAAATAAACACAAAAAAATAGACAAAAAGACACACACAAAAAGGCACACAGACAAACATAGTTTGACACACGCTCACTCACATACAAACAAACACATAAACACAAAAAGAAACACACACAAACACTAACATAGAGAGAGACACACATAGACAAAGGCACATAGATACACACAAACAACACTCACACAAACTTAAACACATCCCACATACAAACACAAACACACACAGAGACACACAAATAACCCACACAAAAACACACGGACAAACAAACACATGGATGCACAAAAACATACACAAAGAGATGCACACATACAGATATAGACACACACAAAAACTCACAGAAATAAACATACATAGAGACAGCCACACACACACAAAAACAGACAAACATGCACACAAGCATAGAGACACACACACATTGAGGCACACAAACAAACAAACATATACAGGCACACACAAACATAAACAAAGACATAGACACACACACACAAACGCAAAGAAACACACAAACAAGAGACAAACAAACACATAGATACATTCACATCCATACACGCACAAAGACGAACATTGACACAGAAACATAAATACACAGCCACACAGAGACACACACATAGATACAAAGAAACATACAAACGCACAAACAAACACAACCACACATAAACACAAACACCTAGACACACACACAAACATACATACACAAACGCATATACATCCAAGCACATAAACAAAGAGACACATACACAAAGACACAGTCAGACAGACACAAATGAACACAAACACACAAATAAACACACGCACCTGAACACGTACACACTGACACACAAACACATGCATAATCACACAAACACACAAATAAAGACACACACATAGAGGCACACAAACACACACAAGGGCATACACATAAAGAAACACTAAGGCAAACACATGCACACATAAAGACATACAAATACACACAAAAAGAGACTGACACACACATAAAAACACTCACACCCATAAACAACCACAAGCAAACAGACGAATACACAAAGACACGCATAAATAGAGAAACACACACAGGTACACAAACACAAACACAAACACACGTACACACAACACACACATAATCACATGCACACACACAAATGTAGACAAACACACGGATACACACACAAACACAGATATGGTCACAAACACACATAGAGATAGGCACAAAGACACATAAAGACACAAACACACACATAAGCACAAAGAGACATGCACAAAGGCACACAGACAAACATAGTCTCACACGCCTAACGGCACATACAAACAAACATTCACACATAGACACATGGACACACTTGCACAAAAACATACAAAAATATAAAAAAAACACCAATAGACAAACACATATGATTAGATGGACATACACATAAGCACAAACACAAACACTCAAATCCACTCACATGGACAAAAACCTATGAACGCACACACATATACTCACATATAGACACACAAACACACGCAAACACACTTAAAGACACAGGAAGACACCTAGATACTCACACACTTAGAAACAGAAACACATGCAATGACACAAAGATAAACACGGACACAAATAAAGAGACACAAAGACAAACACACACAAACAGACACAGTAAGATGCACATACATACAGACACACAGTTAAAGAAACACATGCAAACACACACATAGACACACATAAACACAGGCACACACTAAATGCAAACACATACACAAAAAGACACTCACACTGACAAACACACGTATGCACACATACACACATAGACACATACAAACACAAACACACATTGACACACACAGACAAATACAAAGACACAAACCCAAACATGAACCATCACACACATACGTAGACACATATACACACAAACACACACACTCATGCATAAATATAGACAAAGACACAAACAGATGCACGCACACAAGTAAATAAACACACAAAAATAGACAAAAAGACACACACAAAAAGGCACACAGACAAACATAGTTTGACACATGCTCACTCACATACAAACAAACACATTAACAAAAAAGAAACACACACACAAACACTAACATGGAGACACACACACAAAGACAAAGGCACATAGATACACACAAACAACACTCACACAAACTTATTGACACACACAAACAACACTCACACAAACTCAAACACAAACACACACACAGAGACACACAAATAACGCACAAAAAAACACACGGACAAACAAACAAACACATGCATGCACAAAAACATACACAAAGAGATGCACACACACAGACATAGACACACACAAAAACTCATAGAAATAAACATACATAGACACAGACACACACATAGAGACAGCCACACACACAAACAAACACATACATGCACACACAAACATAAACAAAGACATAGACACACACATACACACAAATGCAAAGAGAAACACAAATAAGAGACAAACAAACACATAGATACATTCACATCCATACACACACAAAGACGAACATTGGAACAGACACATAAATAGCCACACAGAGACACACACATCTATACAAAGAAACATACAAACGCACAAACAAACACAACCTCACAAAAACACACATAAACACAAACACCTAGACACACACACAAACATACATACACAAACGCATATACATCCAAGCACATAAACAAAGAGACACATACACAAAGACACAGTTAGACAGACACAAATGAACACAAACACATACAAATAAACACACGCACCTGAACACGTACACACTGACACACAAACAAATGCATAATCACATAGACACACAAATAAAGACACACACATAGAGGCACACAAACACACACAAGTACATACACATAAAGAAACACTAAGGCTAACACATGCACACATAAAGACATACAAATACACACAAAAAGAGACTAACTCACATAAAAACACTCACCCATAAACAACCACAAGCAAACAGAAAAATACTCAAAGACATGCATAAATAGAGAAACACACAGGCACACAAACACAAACACACGTACACACAACACACACATAATCACAGGCACACACACAAATGTAGACAACCACACACGGATACACACACAAACACAGGCACACACTAACAAACACACGTATGCACCCATACACACAAAGACATCCAAACCCCTCAATGCAAACACATACACAAAAAGACACTCACAGACACAAACACAAAAAAAAACAAAAACACAAAAATAAACAACCACAAGCAAACAGAAAAATACTCAAAGACATGCATAAATAGAGAAACCCACAGGCACACAAACACACACAAGGGCATACACAAAAAGACACTCACAGACACAAACACAAAAAAAAACAAAAACACAAAAATAAACAACCACAAGCAAACAGAAAAATACTCAAAGACATGCATAAATAGAGAAACCCACAGGCACACAAACACACACAAGGGCATACACAAAAAGACACTCACAGACACAAACACAAAAAAAAACAAAAACACAAAAATAAACAACCACAAGCAAACAGAAAAATACTCAAAGACATGCATAAATAGAGAAACCCACAGGCACACAAACACAAACACACGCACACACTAACAAACACACAAAAACTCATACACACAGAGTGACAAATACACAAACTCACACTAACAAACACACGTATGCACACATACACACAAAGACATCCAAACACCTCAATGCAAACACATACACAAAAAGACACTCACAGACACAAACACAAAAAAAAACAAAAACACATAAATAGA